AATTTTGTTCCAATAAGATCCACTTTGAGAATAATAAATACTATGTATATATATACTTTGGCTTTCTTTGCATACATATAACTATTATTATAATAACATGTTTTGATATTGCGATATATATTCATAAGTTTTTTGTTTTATAAAATAACGTATCAGTTATATGTATGCAAAGAAAGTCAAAATATATATACTATGTATACTGACAAACGGATTAATAAGTTAAAGCGATTAAAATTTTGTTGCAATAAGATCCACCTTGAGAATAATAAATACTACGTATGTATACTTTGGCTTTCTTTGCATACATATAACTATTATTATAATAACATGTTTTGATATTGCGATATATATTCATAAGTTTTTTGTTTTATAAAATAATGTATCAGTTATATGTATGCAAAGAAAGTCAAAATATATATACTATGTATACTGACAAACGGATTAATAAGTTAAAGCGATTAAAATTTTGTTGCAATAAGATCCACCTTGAGAATAATAAATACTACGTATGTATACTTTGGCTTTCTTTGCATACATATAACTATTATTATAATAACATGTTTTGATATTGCGATATATATTCATAAGTTTTTTGTTTTATAAAATAATGTATCAGTTATATGTATGCAAAGAAAGTCAAAATATATATACTATGTATACTGACAAACGGATTAATAAATTAAAGCGATTAAAATTTTGTTGCAATAAGATCCACCTTAAGAATAATAAATACTACGTATGTATACTTTGGCTTTCTTTGCATACATATAACTTATAACTAATACTATAATAACATGTTGTGATATTGCGAGATATATATTTATAAGTTTTTTTAAAATAAAATAACGTATCAGTTATATGTATGCAAAGAAAGTCAAAATATATATACAATGTATACTGACAAACGGATTAATACGTTAAAGCGATTAAAATTTTGTTGCAATAAGATCCACCTTGAGAATAATAAATACTACGTATATATACTTTGGCTTTCTTTGCATACATATAACTATTATTATAATAACATGTTTTGATATTGCGATATATATTCATAAGTTTTTTGTTTTATAAAATAACGTATCAGTTATATGTATGCAAAGAAAGTCAAAATATATATACAATGTATACTGACAAACGGATTAATACGTTAAAGCGATTAAAATTTTGTTGCAATAAGATCCACCTTGAGAATAATAAATACTACGTATATATACTTTGGCTTTCTTTGCATACATATAACTAATATTATAATAACATATTTTACAATTGTGTGATATATGTGTAATGTGAAATATATGTATATTCATTATATAGGTTTCTCTTTTTTTATAAAATACTACATATAATAGATCTCGATATATACCCGCGCAACATATTGCAAATGACATCATTTTTATGTTATAACTACATCACAGCAGAAAAAGTCAATATGATAATTTTTAATTACAAAATTTGACCGTTTCCTGCCATCAAAAAAGCATCCTACTAGTAGTATGGAGACCCAATATGGTGGGTTTTTCTTTACTATAGCATTATTGAAAACATGACATTTATTTAGTAAAATGTGTTAAACTTTATTGGAATCTATAACATACATGTATATATTAAACTTTATATTGTAAGATACTGGCAGTCTCATAGTCAGAGAAATTACTAGTGGCGCTCGCGCATGCGCTTTATCGATAAATACAAGCGCTATATTCAAATGATGATAGCAACGCGTTTCCTTAGATACATAAACTATTTATTTAACAAAAGAGAATTGTCATAGCAATAGGTGTGTTTGTGAGATCGGGGGAATGCCTGAGCGTCTTTTACCGTAAACCGTGAATCAGATCGGACGTGTCTCGTTGATCTCGTGTGATATGCTTAATTGATTAATCACATTTGTATTCTGAGTTTGTAATTAGTTCTGAGTTCGAGTTTATGAGTTGACCAATAAAAACGTGTTTCGATAAGTGCTCAAATTATTGCTTTATTCGATTTCTCACGTTCACTATAATATTTATATATACAGTTCAATAATTCATGGTTCAACTGTTAAACTATTACCCTTTTGAAAAAGCCATTCTCCTGACAAACTACAAATTGACTGCTGTCTTACAGCAATTTTTTCAGAAGCGGGATAGTGCGCGCTTCCCCTTGATCTTATGGTCGATTATTAAGCCGTACTAAAACAGTGAGAATCGATACATGAATAATATCAGTGAGCTGTACAAGTATTTGCATTATCTTCAGTGAATGTGTTCAGTGATTCACAATAAAGAACGGCAGAGTTATTAAACTCTATCGTAACGCTTGTGATTCCATTCAATAAATTACGTGTTGAATTCACGTTCAATTGTCTTCAAGTCTTCTTGGATCTTGCATGAAAGACACGTTGTTTATTCCGTTGCCATGGATCGTCTTTCGTTGGAGAAGTTATCTTTTAAAGAACTCCAGACAATGGCAAAGAAATATGGTCTCAAGCCATCTCCTTCACGTGATGGATGCATTGATCTATTGACGGCTTATTTTGAGAAGAACAATTATGTGAATGAAACATCGAACCCTCCCTTAGCATCGGATCAACGGAAGACTGTCTATTTTGAATCAATTGATGATCCTTTTCATCCTGCTTCACTCGTCGGAGAAGAAGCTGCTTCAGCTTTACCAGCTGTTCAAAACCCTGAAGAAGCTCTTACAGCACATACAGTTTCCCATTCTCCTTCAATGAGTAATACTGCAGGAGCGATGCCGGAAGAATTTCTTCCAAAGATTGGTGCTCTTCTTGCGAAACATCAACAGCAAATGATGCAACAAATGATGGAATTTTTATCATCCTATGCCTCATTTTCGGGTAATGCCGGATCACAAGGTCAGTCTGTTCCTAATTTTATACCTCAACCTGAAACACGATATCAAAATGCAGGTGCTTCAAACCATTTTAATGGTTCGTCGACATCAACTAATGCGAGTGCATCAAACCATTTTACTGGTTCATCGACTTCAACTAAGATTTCTGTAAATACAGTCAATCTTTTAGCTTCACAATTACCTGAATTTAGTGGTAAAGATGATGATGATGTAGAAATTTGGATTCAAAAGGTTGAACGAGTGTCTCGAATTCATGGTGCATTTCACGATATTATGTTGTTAGCTGGTACTAGTAAATTGGTAAAATCAGCTCGAAAATGGTTTGAGCTTGGCACAGGAACAATTAATGACACTTGGCCAAGTTTCAAGGAAGCTTTACTGAAACATTTTAAACGAAAGATTTCTTATGAAATTATTATGAAAAAAGTCGAATCACGAAAATGGAATTATCTTAATGAATCTTTTCAAGATTATGCATTGGAAAAACTCTCTTTAATGCAAAGACTAAGATTACCTGATGATGACGCAATTCACTTTTTGATAGGTGGAATTACTAATAATTCTATCCGTAGTGCTGCCTCTGTCATTCGTGCTGATTCCTTGGATGCCTTCCTCAATGAGATGCATAGGGTTTCCCTCTCTTTTGGAAATGTGAAGAAAGAGTACCCATCTCACTTTAAATCACATAAAGGACGAGACAATGCTACATCATCTCCGAAAACCGATTCTTTGTCATCTTTTCAAAAGGATTTTAAGGAAAATAATTATTGTGTGTATTGCCGTACGCGTGGTCACATTAAGGACAACTGCTTCAGATTGAAGAGAAAAGAGCAACTTCAATCTACGGCTTCAAGGATACCAACACCAGTAGCTGCCATTGATCCCGCAACACCGACAGAAACTATTACGAATCCAGAGAGATCACCTCCGATAGCTGCTATCAACGATATGATTACCAGACGACTGGACACAGAAGATTCTTCTCAGAGAGAAATCACTGACATTATTATATTTTTGATTATATAGTTGTGAAGTAAAACTTGTAAATTCCTACGATTTTATCAAAAATGTAATAATGTTAGTGATCTCTCTCTGATAATGTTCATAAAACTTATGAATATGTATCTCGCATTGCAACATGTTATTATAATATTACACGTGATTCAATGTGTTGAATAGCTTGAAATTTGTGAAACACGAATACCAAAAATAAATTTAGGCTATAATTATATAATTTTTTTTTTAACAAGGCAAGGCAATGTCAGATTTTAGGGTTAGGTTGTGACCGGACTAAATACACGAGATGGAGAAATTCACAATGAATGCAGGTTTTCCTACCTTATTTAAACGGTCGCCAGTTCGTTTTACCTCCAACGAACAAGGTATGCCCTTGGACGACGTCCCGTCAGGTCTGCCGTCGGCCCTGTCGATGGCTGGCCACCTTGTCGTGGTGAGAGGGCTCGCCCTGAAGCCTTCTACAGTATGTAGAAGGTGGAAGGGTGCTAAGAGTCAGCCTTGGAGAAGGAAAAACTCCGAACCAAACCCGGTGTGTCGACACCGTTAGCGGCAGTGTTCGCGCTGTCGCATCGGCCGAGGAGATAACCTCGTTAAAAAACCCTATTTCGGGGGGGTTTATGGGGATAGGGTTCAGGGTTGGGGGGGTTTATTTTATTTTTCTGTGTGGGTAGAGTGAGCCCCCTGGCATACGGGGACGGCTTCTGATGATTTCCCAGGGCCACGTCGGAGGATCATATCGGCGTTGGGTCTGGGAAGTAGGAACCATAAAGTATACCTAGAGGGTAGTGCCCCTTGAATCAAATGCACTCCTCGCAAACTAAGCTGTGCGCAACCGTGGTGAGGGTTGCATGACTGAGGCGAGGTTAAACTGCTCAGTCGCGAAAGGTGCCTCCGAAGGACCCGGCCTGAACTTCGGAGTATTATCCGGGAGGGCCTTATCCGTGCAAGCGGCTCTGTGCGGACGGACAACACTTTCCGACACTTCTCGTGGGATTAAGTATGGAAGACAATAAAACAAACAAAACAAACCAAACTATAAATAATTATTCTGAAGATGGAAGGAGGGTTGAAGAGGAAGGATTAAGGAAGGAGGAAGAGCTTGTAGGAGAGGGACCGTTTGTTCAGGTTCAGGAGGAAGGCGTTCTTAACAACAATGAACGGGAGGATATGGAGGCGCAGAACAGCGCCCCAGTTTTCTGTCAACTAACTCCGGGACAGACGGAGATAGTTGTGACAGCCGCGCAATTGCTCACAATTGGGCAATATGATGTAGGACAGAGGGATGCTTTTTACAGAGCGGATACCGAATCCTGGGGTGAGGAAGATCCACTTACCCAATCTCAGACGGAAATGGATTACGAGGTTCAAGATGATGCCCGTTCAGTAGCGTCTACAGCAACGTCGGTGGCTACATTCGTGCTGGGCAAAAGGAAGGTTCCCAGTCAGGTTGAGGATCCGGGAGGTGAAAGCGGCACCATACCCCGTAGAACTCTAAGACCGAAGAAAACCAAGGTCTTTAAGGAGGGCGATGTGACAGGCAAGTCGGCAATAATTGACAGTCGGGCTCAAGAGATTCCCTTGTCTCAAAATACGGAAGATACTACTGGCACAATGACGTGCTCGGATGGAGAGGACAAGAAAGCGGATAAGAAGAAAAAGAAGTCCAAAAAGGTCCTATCTTCCAAGCGTCGAACAGGTCCTACCATCGAGTCGCAGCTCCGGGAAGTCCCGGCCACCTTAGATGAGTTAACGGATTCCCCGGTGGTCAACTTGGGGTCATCAGCGCTGGAATGGTTGGATGACATTGATATCATTCGGGTTGGAACATCAATGCAGGGAGGACTGAGTAGCCACGTCAAGAGGAGACTTAATGTCGTTAAACAAGTTGTAAGGGTCATGGCGGAGAAGAACGAGGACGTAGGTGAGCCTGGCTTTTTACGGAGGAGGAATGCGGAACTCACCGCAGAACTGAGGGTCTTTAAAAGAGAAACTGCACAACGCAGGAGGGACCTGGCTGATCTGAAGAAGATTGTTGAGGATCTTAAGTCAAGAATTGGTAACAAGGAGACTCCACCGAGGGTATACACCTCTGATAAAGTCTCCTCCCCTGTGATGTTGGCGTCGTATCCGACCCCCCAACCGAGAAAGCCTGCTCTCGCTCTGGAACATAGGTAGGAACCGACGGATGTGGTCATGAGACCTCCCTTAAGGGGGGTATCTGTTCCGATCCCCAACCCGGGACCGAGTTTGGAAGCTGAAGATCAAGAGGCGATGATAACAGCCCAGATGGATTAATTGGCAGCTATCCGTAGGGAAATCCGCGCTAATAAGGCGGAAAAGAAAGCTGGAGAGCAAGGCCTCTCTCAGAGGCAACCCAGGAATGTAGTGCCAAGAGTAATCAGTAATGTGCAAATCGTCCCGCCAAAAGGAACGACACCAGAAGCCCCTCCTGGGCTCAGCGGGACTGAATGGCCCTCTGTGGAAGAAAGTGTGCGTGTAAAGGATCAGTGGAATAAGGTCCAATCTATGAAGGCGAGAGCTAGAGAGAGGAAAAGAAAGCAATCGCGTAGCGGGACCAGGGGCCCGCCTGTACCCCAGCAGAGTTCGAGCCAGATGACTGGTAATAAGAAGAGTGGGACTAGCAACACTCCCAAGCAGAGAAAGCCCCCGAATACAGCAGCAGTAGCAATTAGAGGAATAACGAAAGGCTTTTCCTACGCGCATGCAATTAGGCAAATGAGACTGAAGATTGATCTTCCCAAACTTGGAATTGAAGGAACAAAGATAAGACACACAGTCAACGGAAGTGTCCTTATTGAGATTCCAGGCCCGAAAGGTTAACCAGAAGGCGGATATCCTGCAAGAGAAGTTGATGGACGCGTTAGGTCCTCGTGTGAAGGTATCCCGTCCAATGATTAGAGGAGACATCCGCATCATAGGTCTTGATGACTCTATCACCTCAAGCGAAATAGAGGAAATCATTGTTAAACAAGGTAACTGTAAGGCCTCAGATATTAAGGTGGGATAGATCAGGCCCATGAAGGGCTATTCATGGTATGGGCCCAGTGTCCGCTTGCCTCAGCAATTCAAGTGTCTGCCTTTGGCAAAATTAGAATAGGATGGACGGTCGCCAGGATAAAACTCCTCAAAGCGCGCCCCACTCAATGTTTCCGGTGTTGGGAACAAGGACATCTGAAGAGCAAATGCACCTCCCTCGTGGATCGAACGAACCTGTGTTACAGGTGTGATAAAGAAGGGCATTTGGCCAGATGGTGTACGGAGGCATTCAATTGCGCCCTTTGCGCCTCCCAAGGCAGGGATGCATTTCACAGAGTGGGCTCTGGTTTATGTAAAGCTGAACCAGGACCGAGAGCTTTTAGCTCTAATGTTGCACCGTCGCGGAGGGACGAAAACATGGAGGTAACCAATGGTTAAGATTATCCAATGCAATTTGAACCGCAACCGGCCAGCGCAGGATTTACTAGCTCAGTATGCTACAGAAACAGGGACCGGAATATGCATTCTGTCGGAACCCGCTAGAATTATGGATAACTCGAATTGGTTCGGTAGTTTGAACAAACTTGCGGCAGTCTATTGGAGACCCCAGGCTACGGCCGGGGTTGGAGCTCTGCTAACTAGCAGCCGTCACTGCGTCGCAGTGAAATTTAAGGAGTTTAACATAATATCGTGCTACGTCTCGCCTAACTCCTCAAGAGCAGAGTTTATCGAATTCATGGATGAACTGGGCGACCTGGTTAGATCTGTAGGTAGGAGAACAGTGGTAGCTGGCGATTTTAATTCAAAATCCACTTTGTGGGGATCAAGTAGAACGAATGACAGAGGCACTGTGGTGGAGGACTGGGCTGCGGAATGTGATCTGCGCCTTATTAATACTGGTTCGAAGCCGACATGTGTACGGATGCAGGGGTCATCCATAATAGATCTTACATGGGTCACCCCTGACCTCCTGCGAGAAGTACATGATTGGAAAGTGATTAGCGAGATGGAGAACCTTTCAGATCACTCCTATATCGTGATGGACATAGGTGGAAGACGTACTAGACATAATAGCCCAAAGAAGATTTGTCTAGGCTGGAACTGGCGCAAAACGGATATGGATAAATACTGCGCGACCCTGATATGGCACTGTATAGCGAATACGCAGATAAAAGAAGAACTTCGGCTGTGGAATTCGAGAGATGGTTAAGGAACACATTGACGGAAGCTTGCGATAATGCTGCCTCGAGGAAGAAACCCTTTAGTGGCCGGAAACAGGTCTACTGGTGGTCGGAGAACATTGCAGACTGTAGGAGAGAGTGTATTCGAAGGAGGAGGGCGTGGATGCGAGGGAGGAGAAGAAGAGCATCCCTACAAGAGGATGTGGAAAGGTACGAGAGAGAGTATAGAGCAGCGAAAAAGAAACTTAGGCTTGAGATCAAAGCCAAGTCTACAGCATGGCAAGAACTCATCGACACCATTGAAGAAGACCCATGGGGCCTACCATACAGGATCGTGCTGAATAAGCTGAGAGGGGCCTCCACCAATATTATGGAGTCTCTGGATGAAGCAGCGAGGAACTCACTTGTGGAATCCCTATTTCCGATGGCTGATGCAGGTGTTCCTGATGCGTGGGAAAACTTCCACTGGAACGAAGAATGGGAGGTCATCTCCATCGAGGTTAGCAAGGTGTTGAAGCGGAAAGGTATTGGAAATACGGCGCCAGGCATAGACGGTATAACCTCGAAAATGCTTTGTGCTCTACCAGAGGAGATGGTAGTCAAACTAGCAGTCGGTTATACGTCGTGTCTGAGAGATGGAATATTCCCAATCGAGTGGAAGAGAGC